CTTCCTGCACATCTTGTGGTTGTCAAAGGAACCCAGTTCTTTGATGCGAAGATCGAGGGTTATAGAGATATGGACCTGACTGACGTCCTGCAAATGCTGGGCCGTGCAGGCCGTCCGCAATTCGACACGTCTGGTATTGCCCGGATTTTCACTCAAGATTCAAAGAAAGCTTTCTACAAGCATTTCTTACACACTGGGTTCCCGGTAGAATCAACGTTGCACAAGGTCCTTGATAACCACTTGGGCGCTGAAGTCTCCGCTGGAACAATCGGAACAAAACAGGACGCTCTTGACTACTTGACTTGGACCTTCTTCTTCCGGAGACTGCACAAAAACCCTTCATATTATGGACTAGAGATATCAACCGAGGAGCACAACACTATGGCCGCTCAGACGATAGCCCAAGATTTCATGATCGATCTGGTTAATAAATCCCTCGGCGAATTGGCAGAGTCGTCCTGTGTTGTACTTGATTCAGCAACAGGTGAAGTCGATCCAACACCATTCGGCAAGATCATGAGTTACTACTACCTGTCACACAAGACAATACGGTACCTCATGGCACATGCGAAGCCCAATCCTACCTTCCAAGATGTCCTGAGCTGGATGTGTTCCGCGACAGAATTCGACGAGCTGCCTGTCCGACACAATGAAGATCTCATTAACGCAGAATTAGCTCAGAATCTACCACTATCTGTTAAATCTATGGGTGATCTCCCGCTCTGGGATCCCCACGTGAAGGCCTTTTTACTACTTCAAGCATACATGTCGCGAATCGATCTTCCGATTTCCGATTACGTCGGAGATCAGACCTCTGTCCTGGACCAAGGCATTCGTGTTCTGCAAGCATCGATCGATGTCATGGCCGAGCTGGGCTACCTGCACGCCGGTCAAATGCTGATGTCCCTACTCCAATGCATCAAATCAGCCAGATGGCCCGAAGACTCTCCATTGTCAATTCTTCCAGGCGTCAGCGTCAGTGTCAGCGACAAGGCATCCGTTCTCCCAAAGTCCCTCGTTGCCCTCTCATCTCTTCCCCCCGCTTCTATATCCTCTCTTTCCAAGAAGCTACCCCTTGCTCTTCCACAAATCAACCAATTCACCAAAGCTTCCTCATATCTGCCCAACTTGTCGCTATCGGTCGCCAACATCTCGTCAACCGGTATCACCGTATACTTGACCCGGCGCAACGCCCCAATAGACTCCGAATACAGAATCTATGCGCCCCGATTCCCGAAACCACAAACAGAAGGCTACTTCTTGGTCGTTTCCAGCACAACATCAGACGGTAAAGACGGGGACCTACTCGCGCTCAAGCGAGTCTCCTGGCCCACCATCAACAAGCAGGGCGGTCGCGGTAACCGCGGCAACAACAGCGCTGGTCCTAGCAAAGAGCCTGGAGATAGGAACAGTCACAAGAACAGATCTCCTTTAACCATTCGGTCATCTGTTAGATTCCCAGACACTGCGGCTAAAAAGGGTGTTAATATCAAGATCATCAGCGATGCTTATCCTGGTATGGAGTGGACTTTGTCTCATGTGGAAGTTGATATGGGCCCTGAAACGCAGGCTTTGCCGGAATCTGCGAATTTCCCAGATAAAGGTTGAAATTGATGTATCTTGATACATACGTAGAAGTAGATATATAGACCTGTAAGGCAATTCATTCGAATGATATGATTGAATATATATAAGTTTTGGTTTTGTGGATATATAAAAAACAAACATATGGGATATAAATGCAAGGAATGGATTAATCACCAACCACTACTCCTAACCTTCTAAATCCAAGCTCTCGTTAAAAAAGAAAGCAAAACGGTGAAAGCCGGCTCTCCCTTTCGGCGCCCCCAAAGAAAAGAAGAAGATAAATGATGTCGTCATGAAGGGAAAGAAAGAAAAATATGAAGTGAGGCTATATTGTATGCTCGAAGGAATGAACGAATACGCAAATCGCGGTCAACGACGAAACGAATATGCACAGGATGAAAAGGTTCATCAGATCCGATGCTGCTGATATAAACAATAAAATAAAAAAAAGTGTTTGGGGGGTGGTAGGGGAAGGCTAGAACCAAGTCGGTACTTGGACATAAGAGCGAAGAGAACGCAAATGAGAATGAGGAAGAAGCGCAGGATATTTAACTCATGCACCTCATACACTTTCAATGCGGGCATCTTGAGAGTTTCCATGGCGATGACCAAATTGCCCATTCGTCACCTGAGGCGTTCTGGCTCTTGGAGCCAGACGATCGGGCCGACGTCCGACCGGAACGATGACTTGCCGTTTGCCCTTTGAGACAGAGACGGATCTCGCGATGGAGATTTCGATGGTAGGGAGTGGTTCCGCTGGCTCGGGCTCGGGCTCTTGGTCTGGTTCTAGATCCTGTTCTGACTCTGGTTCCGGGGCGAGTTCGTCGGTCTTGGTGTCTTCGGTGTTGGGCTTATTGCCGGGTGGCTTTCGGATGGAGTCTGATGGGGAGACACCAGTTTTGTTGCTTTCCGCTGGGGATATGGGAGAGAATTTCTGTTGAACAGCGGCAAGAGGTGAGAGGATTGGGGAGGATGAGGTCGACTCAGTGCTAGCCGTTTCAGACGGTAGGTCCTGTGTGTTGAGCGAGAGTGTTGGTGCTAATTTCTGCTTTGCTTCTTCTGCGCACGATTTTTTCCTGCTGACTATTTCCCATTCTGGCTCTCCTTTCGGGTCGACGTAGGTCTGGACAGGCTTGAGCTTTTGGAGAAGGAGTCTTTCGTCGTCTGAGCCGATAGACGTGGTCGAGAGGAAGGAGGATACTGAGTCCTGAGGCTTATGTGACCCCGAAGTATCCAGAGTTTTGCTGTGAACCATGAGGACGACATGGCCTTGCTCATTTAACGAGTTTTCTTGGCATGACTCTGGCCTAGATGTTTGGTTCCGGGGTAGTGGACTGGCGCCCCGCGGTATACTCTGGGAGCCAAGTACTTTCGAGGCTTTGCTCTTGTGTGTTGCTGGGAACAATGAGAGTCTAGGGGAGTTTGAGCGTGTCGGCGAGGTGGCCCTTCGCCGAGGCAGAGGCAGCTCCGGTGAATGTGACGATGTCTGGTTGGGGTTTTAGTGTTACTATAAGCATGAGAGATGGGAAGAGTATTAATGCCTTACCTCGGGGGGTGGAGCACCCATGAAGTCTAAAGTTTTGCTGCACCTGTTGAACGGGGAAGGCTCGTTTTTGTTCAGCAGAGCGCTAAACATAACGCTGTATCGTTCCAATTCAACAGTTGGAATATCAACCTGTAACAAAGACCCCAGATTTGACCCAGCAGGCGGTTGGTCATGTTGAACCGGACCCTGGGTGGCAGTGGCACTTTGCTGCTTCGCTTCATCCGGTTTGGTCTCCGGCTCTAGACATGGCCAAACCTCCGTGTTGGTGATAGGGTTGGACATCGCTCCACGAGACTGATAGTCAATCGAATGTGAAGAACCCTGGGGCAGAGGCCCTTCCTTACTGCCTCGAGCCTGGACCAGGTAAAAGGGCTGACTCGCAGCCGATGCCATGGCGGTTTTCGCCTTGAACAATCCTCCGATTTTCCTCCACTTACTCGGCTTTCGTTGGAGGTTGGAGGGTTTGGGATGTTCGCGCGCAGGCTCTAGCACTTTCTCTTGCATCTGCGCAACGGTACTCTGCGCGTCCACCAAGCGGGGACTACCCAAGGCGATACCGATCATATTTTCTTCCGAGCCATATTCGGTGGCCGTTGGTGATTGGACTACTTCGGCAGGAGGAATAGTTATCTTGAAGTCGAAGCCAGGCCCTGGCATTTCTACCTTCTCGTTCTGCTGGCGTCCATCAGATGTGCGAGGACGCTGAAAGTCCCAGTGCGCCTGCTGGACCTGGCGAGGGCGAGTCGTGCTACTGTTCGCGAGAGTCTTAAGGTCGTTTCGTGGTAACGCATCTGTATACTTGAAGACCGGGTTGGATGTATCTGTGTCCCGCGGAGCACGCGGTCTTCCCATAAAGAGCCCTCTGGCCATTCGAGCGATTTATAGCTCGGCGGTGCCGATTCTGGTCAAAGTAGATGAACTTAAGATAAAGAATTGAATTTAAAGAAGAAAAGAAACTAAACGAGCGGTAATGATCGTAAGCTGGCACGAGACTCTATCTCGGTGTCAAGATTTCGAATCAAAAAGGAATGGACAGCCTTCCAGAAGGCCCTGAATGGAGAATAGTACGGCAAAAGAAGGGAGAGAGTCAGTCGGTCCATGATAAAAAGAAAAGGAGGGTTCAGAGGATGACGAGGAATTGGACGTGGTGGAGATTGTCGCAGAGTTATGGATCGATCTAATCAGACACGGGTTGGCCAAGTGTCGCAATTTAATTTACAGTAGATTAGACGAAGCAAGATCTCAAACAAGCCAACAGAAGTCTCAGACAGATGCTGTTTGCCGCTGATCTGAGCTGGGCGCTTACTGAGGCCTTTTCACGACGAGGCTCATCGGGCCCCTCCATTCTGGGTAGAGATGTGTGGGAGGGACATTCCAGCGTCTGGTCCTCATGCTTTCACCGTCTGATGGTGGATGGGGGGGCCCTTTGTTCCATTGTGCCCTATCACGATGCTTATTTGGGTGGTTGCAAATGAACGTTGTAGTTGCGAAATTAAGGGAGCGCCATCGAGTCAGGCCCACCAGGTGACTTTACCCTAGCACAGTCTAGCGGGAGTTGCATATTGGATTCCTCAATCTGTCGTGCCCTAAAAAACTGCCCCCTTTTAGCGTCAAAGCGTTTCTCGGAAAGAAAAAAGCAACTGATAACTGTCTGTAAAAAGTGAAAAACAATATTAATTGCTGTCCCACACTGACGATATGGTACGTGGGGAAATAGAATAAATATTAGATTAATAGTAGACTAAAAGAAAGTAAAATATCTTTGTCTATTATTATATACGAACGACCATTAAATAATTATATATATGATAAGGTATGTATAAATAGCTAGCTATATTCAGGAAACTTACGAAGTTTCAAAAAGAAATGGGACGAGCCGGGTTTGAACCGACGACCTCCTGATAAGCCTTGAATGGCCGATGATGAAGTGAACTTCAGTCAGACGCGCTCCCAACTGCGCCATCGTCCCATTAGATAATATATAGTTTCATCCAAGGCAATATTACAAGTGATCTCAGGATAATCAGAAAGACCTAAGAGTATCCTGATTATCTATTCATGGTTCTGTTATCCTACCAAAGCCAGGAAACCAAAACATGCTCGCTACTGGTAGGAAAACACTGGAAGAAAAACAATGAAAAGAAACTCGCTTCACATGGCCATGTTTAGTTATACAGGCGGGCAGGCTTCGTGTCTTTATGAAGCCCAGGGCCCTATTTGTTGCCCGTCACCCGTCACCCGTCGCCCCGCTGTTCTGGAACTCTCCCAACCCTACTTCGTACCCATTCAGTCATCACATCACAATATCAAAGCCAGTGTCCTTCAGATGGGCCTGATTCAATTTTGAGCGCACATGATATAGCCACCTCCTTGTCCTACCAGCTCGTTCCTAAAGCGTTATGTCAAGGCAAAGAGCAACTCATGTGGACCCGATGGCGCCGGTAAATCCAAGGTGGGTTTGGCCCCGGCAAGGGCAGGTGAAGGATCCATTAAAGCGGCAACATGACACATTTGACTTCCTAGAATGTTGGCATTTAGAGATGAAGTGACGCTGGAGCTCAGACAGTGAATGATAGAATAGAAGGAGCTGGATTGACTGAACTGACTGAACTGACTCTCTAGGAAATAGAGAACAGGAGCGCTTCAATAGCTAGGTCTGAACAAAGGCCTGCAGAGCTCAACATATGACCTTTATGTGATGTCTCGGGATTTTTTGGACATGGTGCTGGACGGCCGTGCAGGTCTCCTATGCCACGGCTGCTATCTTGAGCTCAATCTGCATTGCCAATAAGTCTTCCTATATATCTGGTGGTTGGTAGTTTATTTTGGCAACATGGGAAGACCCCAAGATAGTAATACTGCACATGAGACCTGTACAGCCGCTAACCCCACTTCCAAAGGGGCGGTCATCACACAAAGATCATACTCGCGCGAGACAAAGAGCAAGTAATCCATTGTTAGCCTAATAAAGCTAATAGTTAAGGGTAAGCCTGCAGCTGCGCTTCTCATATGCCTTGTTGGTTGTGTCGGGCTTAGGCTGCATCGCCAATGCGCCTTTGTATATGCATGGTTGCCTGTTAGTCGTGTTGGCGAAGCAAGAGGATCTCGAAACTGTTGGTGAGGCATATGAAGCTGCACGCAGCCGCCCAGCCCAACGTCTGTTTATAGTTCCTTTCTGAAGTTCTCTTCTCTTTCCTTTCTTGTATAACTTCCATTGCTCAGTGATATTGCAAGCAAGTGATCCCAGCCGTTGTCATGCCACGGTTGCATCTGGTCAGAGGTGGCATACACATCACTCTTCCACGACAAGTTAAGGTTGGCCCAAGCCTCGGATCATTCCAGCTAACATACTCTCTAAACCTGCGTAAGCAGATAAGTATGTCAGTAGCTAACGAGAAACTGCCTTCATAATCCACTACTGGGTGGCGAATGTCGGCAATTCGCCCCTATAGCTCAGTGGTAGAGCGCTTCACTGTAAGTTGCCGTATCAAACATATGGATCTGGATATCAAATGTTGACCTTCCTAGCGTAGTGTACTATATGTGCTATGAAGAGGTCCATCGTTCGAACCGGTGTGGGGGCAAACCCCTTATCTTTCTTTTTTGGATTATTTTTCCTTAGCATCTCTAGTTCTCTCCACAATGGAAGGAACACATGGGGTTGGTAGTCTAGACGGTATGGAATAGGTCTAGATAATTAGCTACCTGCGCCTGGCAATGATATTCTGTTGACAAAGGATGAACAAATGACCCGCTACTCCTTCCCAATGGCAACAAACAATCTGTCGCCAATATCTCCTAGGCCAGGGACAATCATGCCCTGCTCATTGCATTTCTCGTCCACCGCCCCGGTCCAGAACTCTACCCCCTCAGGCCAAGACTCTGCTACACGACGGATGCCGTCCTCCGAGCCTAGCACGCTGAGCATAATCACGCGCTTTACGCCCCATTCACGTAGGAGATGGATCGCCGCCTCGGCCGTGGCACCGGTAGCAACGATGGGGTCGAGAAGGACGGCGGTGTCAGCGGCAGCGTTGTTCGTATTGCCTTTGCGCTGAAAGGGGAGATTGTTGTAGTACTCGACGGGTTGGAGGGTGAGCTTCTCGCGGAAGAGACCGAGGTGGTAGATGGGGACTGGGGACGGAAGAAGGTTGTTGATTGCTGCCGCAGTGTAGTGTGGTGAGCATTGAGACAGTTCTGAGTAAATGAGACAACATACCCTCGATCATGCCCAATCCTGACCGGAGAATGGGTACCAGAGCAACATTGGCCGGGTCGATATCTTGGGTATCATATTGGATACCTAACGGGGTTTGATCCTGGGAAATGAATTAACATCGACGATCTGATACGATCCAGGACGATCGATCGTTACCGTTCCCCGCTTTGTAGTTTTTAGCACCGTTGCAAAGGCCTCGACACCTAGGATGGTTGCGATTTCATGGACCAGCCCCCTTGTTTCGCGGGTGGACGCTGATTTGGACCGCAGCTGCGATAGCTTGGCTTGAAGGCAGGGATGGGAGGAGATGTGAACATTTGAAGGAAGAGACATCTTGACTAGAATGGTTTGGGTTATATTCTTATCGTAAAGTAGTAGAAATGGTAGAGAAATAAAACAATGTGAATTGGTGAGGGGAATAGAAAGACCGGATTTATATACACATCAGAAGTGAGGGGTTGGGTTGGGTTCATGTCACCTGCTCAGAAAAGTATACGTTGTATGTGCCTTGATGTCGGCCCTTTTTTGGCTTTTCTTTTATCTTCTTTTCTCTTTGTTAATTTCTCTCAACCATACACCTTCCTCTTTTCCCCCCCCAGTGCCGGTATCTTTATCTCTGCCTCCCTCATAGGTTTATCGGAAACTGATAAGCTATCAAGCATCAACTTATCAGCAAAATCAGACAACTAAATCATTGTTTACCCACTCAAATACCCACCGACTACTATGACCCACTCTGTCCGTCCAATCTTCCCAACTTGACTTCCCAACTTCTCTCAACGCGTCAGGAACAGTTTTCTTCACCATGAAGATTAGATGATGTGATCTCAATCGCTGATTGTCCTTCAACATGCAATCCACCAACACCGTACCTCCCGACGATCCGGACAACCAGTTATCTGAAACTCAAGCACCACCACCCGCCACCGAGGAAGCTTCGCAGCGCCAAACATGGTCCTCCGAAGGTTGTACACTTCCTCCCACCACCGACAAGCCCCCCGATTGCCCTGTTGAACCAACCCCTTCGCGAAAGGGACCGGTCGTAAAGTCACTATCCCAACATGCCACCCACCTCTTCACCCTCTCCTACTTAGTCTTCTTCGCCATATTCGGCACACTGGCGCGCCTCGGCCTGCAAGCCTTGACCCTCTACCCCGGAGCTCCTGTGGTTACAGGTGTTCTCTGGGCCAATATAGGAGGATCGCTGCTGATGGGCTTCTTCCTTGAAGACAAGAACCTTTTCCGCGAAGAATGGGATGATGCGAACCACAACAGCACAGCAAACAACGCAGAAGACGCAAGCGCCGAAGCAAAACGTCACAAGTCCGTCAAAAAGACAATCCCCCTATACATCGGTCTCACAACCGGCTTCTGCGGCTGCTTCACCTCCTTCTCAAGCTTCATCCGCGACATCTTCCTCGCTCTATCCAACGACCTCTCCGACCCCTCAACCCCAATCATAACCTCACGCAATGGCGGATACAGCTTCATGGCCCTAGTAGCCGTCATCCTCACCACGGTAGCCCTCAGCCTCGGCGCGCTCATCTTCGGCGCCCATCTCGCCCTAGCCCTCGATCCATTGACGCCCGCGCTCCCTTTCCGCGTCACGCGCCGAGTCATAGACCCCCTCTTCGTCTTCCTCGGCTGGGGATGTTGGCTGGGAGCAGTCTTCCTCGCGATCTGGCCCCCAGATCGCAAGGATCATACGACTGAATTCTGGCGTGGTCAGGCGGTGTTTGCGATAGTCTTCGCTCCTCTCGGCTGCTTCCTGCGGTACTATGTCTCGCTAGCACTGAATACGCAATTGCCCTCCTTTCCCCTAGGCACATTTGCTGTGAACATCTTGGGCACGATTATTCTTGCCATGTGCTATGACTTGCAGCATGTCGACGGTATTGGGGCCTCCTCTCTTGGCTCTGCGGCGGGTTCTTCTATCCTCACGAGCTGCCAGGTGCTTGCTGGCGTTATGGATGGGTTCTGCGGCTCGGCCACTACCATAAGTACGTGGGTGGCTGAATTAAATGGGTTGAGTCGTCGGCTGTTTGCCTATATTTATGGAACTGTCAGTGTTGGGGTGGCGCTGGGGTTCTTTGTCATTATTACGGGTTCCTTGAGGTGGACACTTGGGTTTGTGGAACCCGTTTGTTTGTAAATGATATAATGTGCAAGTATACCGCAGCAATCTAATAAAGTGTAGAGTAGACCTAAATACATCTAATGTATAATAATGAACAAATTCCCGCTTTGAAACTTATTGATGGAAGACTACTTCCACTGACTGCACAGTGTAAAGAAATGATAGATCCCGGCTCGAACCAAATTGTATTTTGTGCTAGAATAACTTATAGTACAGGGTACTACAACGCAAAACGTGCAGGCAAACGAAAAATTAAACGGATCAACATTATCGAAGCGAACAAGAAATCTTCAAGAATGAAATATCAAAGCATGCAAAACAGATGCGTCAAAACTGAAAACGACGAAATATGAGGGGGGAGAGAGAACGCAAACATTAACGGCGGGGACGGCATAAACACATAAACTCAGAACGATTCTAACTCACATACATTAAGGCAAAAGCTCAAAAAGGAAGTAAAAAAAGTAGTAGAGCAAAGTATTTGAAAAGGAATGACTTGAAGAAGAGAAACTTTGAAGTGGTAAAATGAATATATAACGGACAAGGTATCAAATGATCAGGGGACAAATCGACTGGCAAATTGACCAAACACGCTGATGCGCAGAAGTGAAGC